AACAAAAAAAAAAATTAGTCTTATTTCTTAACTACTTTCCTCTTCAACATCTCCAGTTTCATTGCCTGATATTTGCCTTCTTTGGTACATTCATTATTTCCCTGCTAATAATGTCTTTTTAAAGAAATAATACATAAATTCATTGATATTATATATTTTTTTTAAGAAAAGAAATCTATCATGATGACTTTTCACTTATATTAAGTTGAATTTTAAGGATAAGACTTGTAAATAATGAGAATAGAAATATAGATATGCAGTGTTTCATAAAGATATTTATCATCTGGGAAATGTTAAAAAGATCTAAAATGGCTTTTAGCTCTGCTGTCTAAAGTAAAACAAATGTTATAGAAAACTTCCAAAGCTAATAAGTTATGAAACTTGGGCCATTATAATTTATTCCTGCATTTATACTTCAGTCTTACTGATGTTTGATTAAGTTCAGCTGGCTAACATCCATTTTAGTACTATCTTATTTAGGCTTATTGTTTTACACATTGTAAATTTTTATTATTTTGAGATTACATAATAAGTTTTTACTGGCAGCTCTCGAAAGAAGTAATTTATAGAGCTACAAAGGTATAAGTACTTCCTCAGAATTCCTCCCTCATATTTGTAGTCATAACATAGGAAATCTATAGCTCTTAACCTCCCATTTTCTACCCTTCAACAACAGTGAGGGCAGAAGCTACATCAGAAGTGTTTTCAGTGGAAGTTAAATGGCAGAAGATCAAAGCTGGCATTAGAAAGGAAAATCAGAGATTAAAATTCCAATGCCATGTTGTCATCCTGGTGTAGAGGTTAGATAGACAAGTGCTGCTGAGAACAACTCTTCATATGCTCATGGGTAAAAAACATCTGAATACCAATTCTTTAAAAAAAGATCACCAAACCCGACATTGTCTCCTGATGGCAAAGAAGGGGACACTCAACCTTCTTTTAGACTAAGCATTTATGGAGGATGAATTATTGTTTTTCTTTCTCTCCTCAGGATATGACAACTGAGAAGAATTAATGGTTTGTTGCTGACTCTGTAAACCAATTCAGTTCGGTAAACCTGAAGAAGCCTGCTCCTTTTAGGTAGGCATTGTTGGTGCTTTTTGTTTGTTTGTTTGTTTTGTTTTGCTTTGTTTTTGTTTTTGTTTTGGGTGTTTAATTCTTTTTTGGTGGTGGGGTTTTTTTTGTGTTTTGTTTTTTTTTTTTTTTTTGGTGTGTGTGTGTGTGTTGTTTTTTTTTTGTTGTTGTTGTTTTTTTTGGCCAAGCTAGCAAACTGAATTGTTTCAGTCAGATAAGCACCTAAGTTGAGAGAAAGGAAGTGGAAGGAGCTTGCAGTCCAGTCTGGGGAGCTGGCTGTTAGACACTCAGAAATTCATCTTCCATGTTCAACATCCAACTATAGCCGGTGGGGGGAGGATACAGGTCATTCCTGAGGCTAACACTTTTTTTTTCAAAGTATTTTCAGGACCAACAATCCAACCAGACTTCTAAATGCTACAGAGAAACAAAACAAACAAGTGGTCAGAGGACAGAGAGGGGGTGGGAGAGAGGAAAAAAAACCAAAGGTTTGTTTAGGTGATAGAATGGAAGGTGCTGACACTCATGTGGGCAACACAACAGCACAAAATAAAAGCATGTAAATAGAAAGACTGTCATTGTTCCTTTTAATTTGTTATCTTGGAGCTGAAACCACTAAAAAACACTGCAATATTGTCCTCTCTCCCACAAAACGACTACAAAACAGAATTATCATCTGTATTACAATGATCCATCAAAACAGCAAGTCTGAAAAAAAATGCATATACAGGTAACAATTTCCCTGAAAAGAATTTCAATTTAAGTACTAACATTGGCCCAAATTTGTTATTGTCCCAAACAAAGCAAGCATAAAACACTATTTCTCTGCCAATGCAATGTTTCAAATTCAATCAAGAAAACCACCTGAGCTAAATTAGATCAATGTCCACTTTGCTGAATTTTTGAATAAAATCCAGTCTGCTTTGATCTCAGTGAAACCAATAACCAGCTCAAATGCACACCTATGCCAGTGACTACTGATCTCATATTTCAGGTCGTTCTTCCAGTGTTATAATTTGAAAGGAAAATGGGCAGAAGATGAAAGTGTCCACGACTGCCTGCTTAAACTGACTTGGCTTTTCCTGTGAGAGGTGGCAAAGAGGCAGATTTGGTCCTGTACAAGCTGACACAGAACATTTTTGCTTTCAGCCCATGCACTTTCAAAGGTAATGGGAAGAATCAGTTTCCTTCTCATGTCTCTCTCTTATTAACAGTTACCCAGCATTGTTGCTTGGCCTGAGCAAAATATTTTTTAGCATAAAAATGAATTTATTGTTTAGCATTCTGAAACAGAATTTTTGGCTGCAGGGACCTCCATAAATGGAGTAAATGTGGCCTGTGGCTGTCTGCAATAAGATTTGTTTCCGGGTAATTTTGGAGGGGGGGTTGTGTGTTTTGTACTCGGGTTTATGTGTTTTTTTTGGTTTTTTTGTTTTTTTGCCTTTTTTTTTTTTTTTTTTTTTTTTTTTTTTTTTTTTTTTTTTTTTTTTTTTTTTTTTTTTTTTTT